GCGAGCCAGGGATGGCAGGTTGTGTCCATGGGCCCTTCAACCCAGCTTGTCCTGGGGCTCCCTCCCCCAGATCCCCAGTAGGGCACACCGCCAGTAGGACCCCCAGGGGGAGCGATGGGCTGGGCTGGTCCACTCTGGGCCCCTGGGCCTGCCCCCGCCCCACTCAGGGCGCATGTCCTCCCTCTGCGCCTTGGTTTGTGGAGCTGCCTGGACTTCAAGGCTGTGCGCAGGGTGGACACTGATCCCATCATGTGGCTCCACTAGCAGTGGCCAGTGGCAGTGTGTAGGCTGTGGTGGGCAGGAGTGGGCCAGGGGTTCAGGAGCACGCTCCCTCCAGCACAGGGGTGTACATGGGCACATGTGTGTGCATGTAGCCTGAGGGTGTGGGGGCAGGCAGGCCCAGGAGGGCAACAGGCATCTTGTGGGTGGGGTATGTGTGGGGAGCAACTCGGACTAGACTAAGTTACTGGAATTAAGACTTATTCTATGCATCTGCTCTCCCAAATATGGCGCTGAGAAGGGAGAAACAGCTTCTACACAGCTGCCTCCAGTTCAACCAATAAACTGTAGGACCTGCTCCTGATTGGAGGAGAGCAGCGTACTCGGCGTGTGGGTAGCAGAGTTGGGATTGGTGGAAGAGGACTATAAAGGAGAGAGAGACAACATGTACCAGGAACATCTATCTGAAGGAACACCTGAGCAGCCCCCGAGAGAGCCGGCCGGCGGTGTGCCGCTCCCCCGCGGAAGTGGGGAAAGTGGCAGGGGGAACCGCCCTTCCACGGAGGTGGAAGGGACGGTAGCCAACCCGGGAAGAACCAGCAGCAAACCCGGGGAGGGCCGAGCAGACCAAAGAACAGCGCAGGGTCCAGGTGTCGTTCCTCCACGAAGAGGGGGAGCGACATAATGGTGCCGTGACTCGGATATGAAGCCTAGGCAGGGCTTAGTGTCAGTTCCTCCACGAAGAGGGGGAGCGACAGGTATGAGGTCTGGACTGGGGGGCAGGCAGCTGGTGTGTGTGTTGTGTGTGTGCGCGTTAAACCTGAGGGGTGTGGGCAGGCAGCCCAGGAGGGCACAGGCATCTTGTGGGGGTGGGGTATGTGGTCTGGACTGGGGTCGGCAGCAGCAGCTGGTGTGTGTGTGTTGTGTGCGTGTAACCTGAGGGTGTGGGCAGGCAGGCCCAGGAGGGCACGGGCATCTTGTGGGGTGGGGTATGTGGTCTGGACTGGGGGGCGGGCAGCTGGTGTGTGTGTGTGTGTGCGTGTAACCTGAGGGGTGTGGGGCAGGCAGGCCCAGGAGGCACGGGCATCTTGTGGTGTAGGGTATGAGGTCTGACTAGGGGGCGGGCAGCTGGTGTGTGTGTGGTGTGTGTGTGTGGTGTGTACCTGAGGGGTGTGGGCAGGCAGGCCCAGGAGGGCACGGGCATCTTGTGGGGTGGGGTATGAGGTCTGGACTGGGGAGCGGCAGCTGGCAAGCCTCCAGAGACAGAAGACGCCGAGCTCACAGGGAGCCCACTGTGGCAGAGGGGGCAGGGGTCTCTGGCCTGTGGGACGGCCCCTCCCGCACGCACGCTGGCCGCACCTTGCTGGCGGGGCCGGGGTCCGGCCGCAGGCACACCAGGTTGCCTTCCAGGGTGAGCGTGGCCAGCCGTGGGCACAGCCGCAGGTAGCCCACCTGCCCCAGGTCCTCCACGCTGTTGCCCTCCAGGTCCAGCACCTCCAGGTGCTCAAGCAGGCACAGCGGGCTCAGGTCCGAGATGTTGTTGTAGGAGACGAACAGCTCCTGGGAGAGAGGGGGGCGGCTCAGCGGTGGCAGGGCCTGGGACACCCCCACCCTGCCTGGGGTGCCAGAGACCCACCTTCAGTGCTGGCATGGAGCCGACGCCGTCCAGGTCAGCCAGACCGCAGCGGGCCAGCCACAGCACCTGCAGGCGGCCCAGGGAGGAGCCCAGGTCTCTGCAGAAGGCAGGGTTGGGCAGTGGTCAGTGCCGGTCGAGGGTGGAGGGGCGCGTCTCTGGCCAGGGAAGTCCCCATGTCCGGCCAGGTGTGCTGGGCAGCCTCCGGAGTCAGGGAGCAGCGTCCTCCACCCGCCCCAGCCTGGCCTGGCCCTGGGGAGCTGCCCTCTGCGGGATGGGGCTGGGCCTCTCTCCTGCTCCAGGTACCATGGTTTTTATTTCTGGGACATCGTTAATAGCTTCTCGGGCATTCACGTCGGGACCAAGGGCCCAAAATGCTGAAGCCCTGAACCCCTGAGGACACTGACGTGGGGGTGGACGCTGCCCCGGGTGAGCCTGCTGGTCTGGAGGGACCAGTGGCTGAGCGGCGGCGCACCTGCCCCCGCATTCCGGCCGCCTCTGACGCGGTCACCCGTGTCCCCTGGCTGGGCAAGCGCCTTGGCATCCGACTCCAGCTTGCAGTGCCCTGGGGGGCGCCGTCTGCCGCTCCGCCTGCCCACCGGGCTCTTTCCTCCTGGTGCCCTCAGCCTGTGCCCGTGGCGGTGTTCATCCTCTGCCTGTGGCTTTGCAATTCCTTTCCGAGCAGCTCGGGGCCGTGCCCTGGCCTCCAGGCGCCTCTGCGGTCCCGTGGCCGAGTGTGAGGCTCGAAGCGTGCCCCCCACCCCGCGCCCCCCAGGCTGCAGGAGCCGTGTTCCACCGTCTTCTGGCTTCAAGTGTCTGTGGAATGCTCCACTTGCTTTGTCTAAACGACAGCATCGGTGTTTGGTGCAGCAGTTAAGCCTGGTTCAAATCCTGGCCCCTCTGCTTCTGATCCAGCTTCCAGGGAGGGCTCGAGTGCTCGGGTCCCTGCCACCTGCTTTGGGAGACTTGGGTGGAGCCCCAGGCTCCTGGCTTCAGCCTGGCCGGTCCTGGCCATTGAGGCCATCTGGGGTGAACCAGTGGATAGAAGACCTTCTCTCTCTGTAACTCTGCCTTTCAAATAAAAAAATCTTAAACAATTCACTTTTTTCTTATTTTTTATTCATTTATTTATGAGAGTGAGTGTGGCTACTGTCCAAATGCAGCAATAGCCAGGGCCGGGCCACGCAGAAGCCAGGAGAAGTGCTCGGGCCAACGCTGCTGCCCATCCGTGTGCACAGCAGGTAAAGGACCCGCGGCTGCTCCCCGCGGAGGGGCCTGGAAAGCAGGGCGGACCCCCGAGGCAGAACATCGCTCCCTCACGTGGAACACGCACATTCCTGAGAAGTGTACTTGGCAAGCCCTGACTCGCTCACGGTGTGGCTCAGTGATCGATGGGGGTCCCGGGGGTGTCTACTCCTCTGCTCCGTGTCCATGCACGGCGCCCTAGGTCAGCTCTGCTCCGTGTCCGTGCACGGCGCCCCAGGTCAGCTCTGCTCCGTGTCCGTGCACGGCGCCCCAGGTCAGCTCTGCTCCGTGTCCGTGCCACGGCGCCCCAGGTCAGCTCTGCTCCGTGTCCGGTGCACGGCGCCCCAGGTCAGCTCTGCTCCGTGTCCGTGCACGGCGCCCCAGGTCAGCTCTGCTCCGTGTCCGTGCACGGCGCCCCAGGTCAGCTCTGCTCCGTGTCCGTGCACGGCGCCCCAGGTCAGCTCTGCTCCGTGTCCGTGCACGGCGCCCCAGGTCAGCTCTGCTCCGTGTCGTGGCACGGCGCCCCAGGTCAGCTCTGCTCCGTGTCCGTGCACGGCGCACCCAGGTCAGCTCTGCTCCGTGTCCGTGCACGGCGCCCCAGGTCAGCTCTGCTCCGTGTCCGTGCACGGCGCCCAGGTCAGCTCTGCTCCGTTGTCCGTGCACGGCGCCCCAGGTCAGCTCTGCTCCGTGTCCGTGCACGGCGCCCCAGGTCAGCTCTGCTCCGTGTCCGTGCACGCGCCCCAGGTCAGCTCTGCTCCGTGTCCGTGCCCGGCGCCCCAGTCAGCTCTGCTCCGTGTCCGTGCACGGGCCCCAGGTCAGCTCTGCTCCGTGTCCGTGCACGGCGCCCCAGGTCAGCTCTGCGGTCCGTGTCCTGTGCCGGCGCCCAGTCAGCTCTGCTCCGTGTCCGTGCACGGCGCCCCAGGTCAGCTCTGCTCCGTGTCCGTGCACGGCGCCCCAGGTCAGCTCTGCTCCGTGTCCGTGCACGGCGCCCCAGGTCAGCTCTGCTCCGTGTCCGTGCACGGCGCCCCAGGTCAGCTCTGCTCCGTGTCCGTGCACGGCGCCCCAGGTCAGCTCTGCTCCGTGTCCGTGCACGGCGCCCCAGGTCAGCTCTGCTCCGTGTCCGTGCACGGCGCCCAGGTCAGCTCTGCTCCGTGTCCGTGCACGGCGCCCCAGGTCAGCTCTGCTCCGTGTCCGTGCACGGCGCCCCAGGTCAGCTCTGCTCCGTGTCCGTGCACGGCGCCCCAGGTCAGCTCTGCTCCGTGTCCGTGCACGGCGCCCCAGGTCAGCTCTGCTCCGTGTCCGTGCACGGCGCCCCAGGTCAGCTCTGCTCCGTGTCCGTGCACGGCGCCCCAGTCAGCTCTGCTCCGTGTCCGTGCACGGCGCCCCAGGTCAGCTCTGCTCCGTGTCCGTGCACGGCGCCCCAGGTCAGCTCTGCTCCGTGTCCGTGCACGGCGCCCCAGGTCAGCTCTGCTCCGTGTCCGTGCACGGCGCCCCAGGTCAGCTCTGCTCCGTGTCCGTGCACGGCGCCCCAGGTCAGCTCTGCTCCGTGTCCGTGCACGGCGCCCCAGGTCAGCTCTGCTCCGTGTCCGTGCACGGCGCCCCAGGTCAGCTCTGCTCCGTGTCCGTGCACGGCGCCCCAGGTCAGCTCTGCTCCGTGTCCGTGCACGGCGCCCCAGGTCAGCTCTGCTCCGTGTCCGTGCACGGCGCCCAGGTCAGCTCTGCTCCGTGTCCGTGCACGGCGCCCCAGGTCAGCTCTGCTCCGTGTCCGTGCACGGCGCCCCAGGTCAGCTCTGCTCCGTGTCCGTGCACGGCGCCCCAGGTCAGCTCTGCTCCGTGTCCGTGCACGGCGCCCCAGGTCAGCTCTGCTCCGTGTCCGTGCACGGCGCCCCAGGTCAGCTCTGCTCCGTGTCCTGCACGCGCCCCAGGTCAGCTCTGCTCCGGTCGTGCAGCCCCGGTCAGCTCTGCTCCGTGTCCGTGCACGGCGCCCCAGGTCAGCTCTGCTCCGTGTCCGTGCACGGCGCCCCAGGTCAGCTCTGCTCCGTGTCCGTGCACGGTGCCCTAGGTCAGCTCTGCTCTGGCTTCCAGGAGGTCGTCTTCGTTTTCCCTGTCTCCTTGCCTGTGTTTATTAGGTCCCTTTCGTCATCTGACAAACGCAGCAGAAATCAGCAGAGCCAAGAAAACGCACAAGGAGGCTGCTCCCTGAATACCTGGGTCTTCTCACCTGGAAACTGGCTGGGTGCACTCAGGTGGGGAATTCCCACCCTGTTGCCACCTAAACCCAGCAACACCCAGGACAGAATCCACCAAACCCACTGCAGCTTCGTCCTGCGTGGGTGGCTGCATCTCACGTTCACCAGGATGCTTTGCAGAGAGTGGTTCTGACGGCCTGAGCTCCAGCCCGGCGGCTCCCGGGCTCTGTGGGCTGGCCCTCTCACGCCGTCCTCCCTGGGGTCCCCGGCTGCCCTCAGGCGTCGTGGCCCCGGAACCATCTCCACCCTGACCCTGACAGGGGATGACACGAGCCCATCAGGCTGCAAAGGGGTGGGCATTAGCACCCTGAGCCTCTCCCCCTTCCCACAGAGACACCCCCACCTAGGAGGGAGCCACACCTGCGAATGCCCCCTGCCTTCCACGAGGTCAGTCCCCCGAGGGCAGACAACAGGCTGCTGGGGAATTCTGGGCTCCTGGGGGCCACACCCAGCCCAAGCCCCACCATACATGAGCTCCCTCCTCAGCCCTGTGGGGCTCACCCTCAGACCCCCTACCCCACTCCCTGGGAGACACCCACCTGAGGGAGCCCAGCCGGCTGCCATTCAACTTCAGCTGGTTCAGGCTGGGCAGGTGCACTCCTGGGGGCCACGGGGGAGTAAAAGGTTGGTGTAGCCCGGCCCAGCCACAGCCAGGTCTCTGCTGCCTCACTCACACCCCCTCTGGGCCCCTGCACACTGCAGAGGGCACAGGGCGGCCAGGGCAACTCAGGCCGCCAGGCTCCTGGGTCAGCTTGCCGAGCCCCTGAGCTCCCTCCTCCAGCACCCAGCACCCCCAGACCAGCACCGGCATCAGGGGGCAGCACAGGGGGCCCCGTCATGTCACGGGAATGCCCCAGTGGGTGACCCAGCATGCCCCGAGTCCCTGGGAATGGCCCCGACTTCTGGGTCCTCCCAGAGACAGGGCACCGGCCTGGTGAGACAAATGGGGCCCATGACAGTCCAGGGCGCAGTGGACTGGAGACCAGGGCCAGCAGGCAGGACCGGAGTGGCCAAACCAACAGGAAAAGGCAAAACAGAATGCCACAGAACACCCGAGACCCCCAGGATGGGGCACGTGGACCCCTGCAGCAGGAGCAGACACCCGGAGGACAATCCCTGGCCCCTGCGGCTGTGCAGTGCACCCTGGAGACAAGGTCCCCCCACCCAGGAAACACCCGGCCCAGGATCAGCGGGTGGAGCCCCGGGGAGCCCCAGCGGGGAATGCAGGTGTGTGGGTGGGTGAGTGTGGGCAGAGCCCCAGGCTGGCCGCGGCTTGTGTGGGAGGAGCTCCGGCAGGCGTGGGGTGGAGCTCAAGGCAGGTGAGGGGGTTGTGGGCAGAGCCCAGGAGGGCCATGGGTGCGGCGGAGCCCGGGCGTGGCATGGGTGTCTGGGCAGAGCCGTGGCGGGTGTGGGCGGAGCCCCGCCAGGCGTGGTATGTGTGGGTGGAGCCCCGGCAGGTGTAGCAGGGTTGTGGGCGGAGCCCGGGCGCAGCGTCCCCCAGCAGGCATGGGGTGTGTGGGCGTGGAGGGGTACGGGCAGAGCCCTGGGGCTGGCCGCGGGAGGGGGCCTCACCGAAGTTCCCCAGGCTGCTCTCCCGCGTGTCCACGCACATCTCCAGCACCCGCACCAGCTGAAGGTCGTCCTCCCCGGCCAGGGCTCGCTGCAGAAGCCAACGGGGGTGGGGGTCATGGCCTCCTGGGCACGCCGGTGCCCTCAGCCCTGGGCACCCACTAGGGCGGCAGTTCTCTGCCTCTCCTGTGTTGGCCTTGGCCTTGGATGGCGTGCCTGGTGGGACGTGAGTGACGTGGGCAGACGTGGGAGCTGTGCTCGGCCTGAGGGGCCGTGGGCTGTGAAGGCCAGCCTGAGGCCTGGGCTGTATCCAGGCAAAGGCACACGGACCCTGGAGCCCTGAGCCGGCAGCTGGGTCGTGATGCCCGGTGCCCCACGTGTGTCCCCACCCTGCCTGGTGGCCTCTTGCCCTGGCCCCAGCACCCTGGGCACCTGTGTGCTGACGCTCTGTCCCCACCAGAGCCTCAGCCACTTGAACCAGGGACTCCCCCTGCTTCAGAGACCTCTGGACCTGCCTAGCCCAGGGCCACCTGCCAAGGAGACCGGGGCTGCTGGCGCTCCGGGGTCTGGTGGGGGCCCCACGCACGTAGGGAGTGGAGGGCACCGTCACCCAGGCGGGGTCAGGGAGCAGACTGGATGTGAGCAGGAAGGAGGCCCAGGACATCCCCCCACACAAACCCCCAGGCCCTGGCACCTACCAGCCGGGCCGGGGACAGGTGCTTCTCCACCAGCTGCTCCCCATGGCTGCCCCTGCGGCCGCCCGGGCCCTTGCTGCGAGGGCAGGGGTTGTGCAGGCCCTGCCAGCTCAGCTCCCGCACCTGGACGCTGGCTGAGCTTGGCCGCGGCCCACAGGATCCATCCCAGCCTGCGTCCATCCACGTCTAACCTGCTGGGGGTGGGGTGGGGGGCAGACGCAAGGCTCTAAGCTGAAGGCCCAGCTGGGACTCCCGCCCAGGCCCTGGCACCGGGGCCTGGCCTGGCACGCCTCAGCCTAGGTGGAGGGCCGCACGGTCCCAGCTCCAGCCGCAATGCAGAGCTCCCCGGCTAGGCAGGTGCCCTCTGCGTGCCCCTGCCCCAGCTTGTGTCCACACAGGAGTGCTGGCTCCAGGCCACCCCCGCAGTCCCCACAGGCTGTGAGCGGTCAGACCGGCTGCCTGCAGAGACCAGCACTGAGTGACCACTACCGAGCCCCCGGGGCTGTGGGTCCTTCTCTCTGAGACCCCGCCCCACTGCTCACCTGCAGGCAGCTGCCTTCTGCTGTGGGTCAGACATCAGGGCAAGGGGGTGGCATGGGTCCCGAGCGGCACCTGCCAAAGAGTCAGGGTCACCTCGGCTGGGCCAGGTCAGGGTCCCCGTGCCAGAAGTGGGCACGTGTGGCAGCATTGGCAGCGGTCAGCCAGCGAGCAGCCCCGAGCTCCCCCCGGGACCATCCTGCTGAGGGCCAGGGCACTGCTGGGGCTGCTCAGACCCCCACTTCCCTGCTCCCCCACACTGGCCTCTCCTGAGCCCCCGGGCCCCTGGAGGAATTTCTAGCGTGTTCCTGGCCCCCCTGCTGCTGTCTGGGACCCCCGGCTGTATCCTCCACACAGGCCCTGGCCGCACTCCATCCCTGCTAGGCTTCCCAGGGTCACCTTCCCCAGAGACAGATGTGGGTGGGCGGAAACCACTGCCCAGGGGAGGCGCACACTGCCCACGGCCGGGTTCATCCCCTCCACCCACCGATGCGGCGGGCCTCCTGGACAGGGGGTGCAGTCAGCTGGACTTAGAGGCTTTGGGGAGAGAGCCTCAGGGGTCCGGTCTGGATAGTGACCCACATGCTGAGGACCCAGGAACGCGCAGGTCCCCTGGGGAGCCCCGTGGACTTTCCCTGCTGCCTGCCCTCCTGCAGCTGGTGCCCGGCCCTAGGCCTCCCAGCTAATCCCCACCATGCCCAACTGCCACCTCATCATGGCCAGGGAGACGGGCTGGCCCTGGACGCCCATGGGTGGCCGAGGGTCCTGCCTCAGCCAGGCCCCAAGGGGTTCAAAGTCCAGGGGTTGGAGGCAGCTAGGCCCAAGCCCCCACTCCTGGACACTGCTCCTCTGCCACGCCCCCAAGGCCCGAGGCTGGCGACGGCCCTGGCTCCTCCCTTCACGGCCCAGTACCCAGGGCACACCTGGCTCCCTTCCCATGACCCCACCCTGGAGTGACCCCACCCTGGAGCCAGCCCCAGCAAGTCCCGAGGCGCGGGCGTGGCCTCCGCGGGGACACCTTTTGACCTCTGAGGCTGTCGCTGGGCCCCAGAGGCTCTGCTGAGTCCACCTCGGCCCGGGCTTCCCCTCACCTGCGGGGCGCCGGGGTGCCCAGCCCGGGGCTCGGCCCTGGGTGCCCGCGGCCGCGGCGCTCTCCGACTCCGCCAGTTCTTCCGGCCGCGGGGCTGCGGCCCGGGAGCCATGGCAACCGGGCGGGGCCTCATCTGCATACCAGAATATTCATGAGGCGCGAGCCTCTCACGCGGCGCGCGGCCACGCCCCCTAGCGACGGCTGCAGGGCGGGGGTACCCGGGACCGTGCTGCACCTGCCGCGGCTCCCGCGCGGGAAGCCCGTCCTGAGACCCCCGCCACGGCCAGAGGGGACGCCCGGCGCAGAGCCGCACGCCCCGTTCCCCGCCTCCCGCTTCCTCCAGGGGAGTGCGGGTCTCTGCCCTTCGTGCGTGCAGCAACTTTTGGGCTCGGTCTGATGGGAACTTCGGGCCGGAAGGCGGACCTCTGGCCTTCCCCAGCGCCGGCCCCGCTGCCGTGCCCGCCCCTCCAGCCCGCCACGCGTTCCCTCGGCACCCGCAGAACTCGGTGCGGGGCCCCGGCTCGGCCGAGGCCTGCCGGGCACCGCCCTGCGAGCCACTCCCGGAAGCCCCGCCCGGTCGCGCTTCCTGACGGACGGGCCGCTCAGCCAACCGCGTGGGGTGTGGCTCGGCCGAGCGCGTCCAATGATAGGCTGCGCCGGGCTGACGGACGGGCGCGGGGGCGGGGCAGGCGCGGCCGCGGTCGAGTGTCCGTCGCCCGCTGCCGGCGCCCGCAGCCTGAGCCGCACCCGGCGCGGACGGAGCCCATGCGCGGGGAGAGCCGCGCGCTTGGACCCCGCGCCCGCCCCCGCCCCCGCCCCGGCCCCGGGGGCAGTCGCGCCCGTGAGCGGTGAGTGCGGGCGGGGCGGGGGCGGGGGCCCGGCGCCCCCTCCCGGCCCTGCTGGCGGCGGCGCGGGGCGGGCGCGCGTGCGGGCCGGGGGCGGCGGCGGGGCGGGGGGCGGCGTCCGCGGCCCCTTCCTGGCGTCCCTGTGGCTGCGGGCCCCCGGGACCAGGCCCCGCCTGCGCCATGGCGCCGGGCGCCGTCTCCTCCCCGCGCTGCCCAGGGCTCGGAGAGGCCCAGCGCCGCGGCCACCGTGGCCCTCAGGGCCGCCAGGGCGCCCCGCCCTGCACGCCGCGACCCGGGGCGCGCCGGCTCGGGGTCCGGGCCTCCCCTGCGCTGCCCCTGCGCTAGGGCTGAGCCCCTGTTTGCCGGAACCCCTGCGCGTTTCTCCGAGGACTTTGGGGCCGGTGGACACCCCGGGGAGCCGACATCCTGGGGACCCCAGAGGGCGGGGATTGCGCCCCAGGCCCCCTGTCCCTCGGGCCGCGGCGGCACCTGCATGCGGTGCGCGCTCGGTAATGCTGTTCGGACGCACCCCCGGGCCCGGCGGCTGGCTGACGCTGGCCTGCCTGGGCAGGCTGTGGCCCGGCCGGCCGCGGCAGGACCTGTTCTGGGAGGCTAACCTCAGCCCTCAGGCCCTGCGGGTTGTGCGTTCTGCCTACACAGCAGCTTCTAATTTGGGTGCGTGGTTGGGAGAAGCTCTCAGCTGTCAGCCCTGCCTTTGGGGGTAGGCGCCCTGCCTTGCTCACGCTGTCGCTGGTGCGGCGGGGTGGGGAGGCGGCACCCCTCCCGCCCCCTGGATGGCGGCTGGCCCAGGTGGGCAGCTGGGCCGCCGTCCTGGCCGTCGGAGCTGCGGGCCTGGCTGAGCGTGGCCCTCCTTGGCAGGCGGGGCAGGAGACCCCACAGCGCCGGGCAGCCCGCGAGCAGCGCGCGATGACGGAGTATAAGCTGGTGGTGGTGGGCGCCGGCGGTGTAGGCAAGAGCGCACTGACCATCCAGCTGATCCAGAACCACTTCGTGGACGAATATGACCCCACCATCGAGGTGAGCCCGGCGACCCCTCCCCTGGGCGGCCAGCGCCGGTAGCCTGCCGCCACGCGGTCCCTGAGACGCCGCCTCCCGCAGGACTCGTACCGGAAGCAGGTGGTCATCGACGGGGAGACGTGCCTGCTGGACATCCTGGACACGGCGGGCCAGGAGGAGTACAGCGCCATGCGGGACCAGTACATGCGCACGGGCGAGGGCTTCCTCTGCGTGTTCGCCATCAACAACACCAAGTCCTTCGAGGACATCCACCAGTACAGGTGAGCGCCGCGGGGCGCGCACGGGGGCGCTGGCCAGGCCGGCAGTGCGCGCCCCGGCTCACGCCTGCCGCTCCCAGGGAGCAGATCAAGCGGGTGAAAGACTCGGACGACGTGCCCATGGTGCTGGTGGGGAACAAGTGCGACCTGGCGGCGCGCACCGTGGAGTCCCGGCAGGCGCAGGACCTGGCCCGCAGCTACGGCGTCCCCTATATCGAGACCTCCGCCAAGACGCGGCAGGTGAGCCCGGCCCCGCCCCCAGCCGCCCAGGGACGCCCCGGCCCCACCCCGCCCCCGCCAGGGAGCAGTGCTCACAGCCCCTCTCCCTCGACGCAGGGCAGCCGCTCTGGCTCTGGCTCCAGCTCCGGGACCCTCTGGGACCCCCCGGGACCCATGTGACCCAGCGGCCCCTCGCGCTGTAAGTCTCCCCGGACGGCAGGGCAGTGAGGGAGGCGAGGGCCGGGGTCTGGGCTCACGCCCTGCAGTCCTGGGCTGACGCAGCCCCAGGGGAGGGGGGGTCCCTAGAGAGAGCTGCCCTGAGCCAGGCTGGAGCGGTGACCCTGGGCCCCTGCCCCTCTGTCCCCAGTGTCCCACGGGTTCCTGTGGGTTCTGAGCCCTGTAGCTCACCAGCCGGGCGCAGAGTTGGGGTGGGGAGGTGAGCCTGCCCACGGGGGCGGCCCGGGAAGCTGCCGACGAGCAGGGAGGGGCAAGGGTTCAGCCTGAGCCCTCGGCGGGAAACAGCGGGTCCCCCGGTGGCCGCGCCCTGAGCCCGCTCCTCCCTTCCAGGGCGTGGAGGACGCGTTCTACACGCTGGTGCGGGAGATCCGGCAGCATAAGCTGCGGAAGCTGAACCCGCCCGACGAGAGCGGCCGCGGCTGTCTGAGCTGCAAGTGTGTGCTGTCCTGAGCAGGTGAGCCGGGGCCGCCGGCCCGTGGGTTCCCGCCCGGCCCCACGCCCCCGCCCGGCCCCACGCCCTTGCCCGGCCCCACGCCCCCGCCCGGCCCCACGCCCCCGCCCGGCCCCACGCCCCTGCCCGGCCCCACGCCCCCGTGTGCCCCACGCCCCCTGCCCGGCCCCACGCCCCCGCCCGGCCCCACGCCCCCGCCCGGCCCCACGCCCCTGCACGGCCCCACGCCCCCGCCCGGCCCCACGCCCCGCCCGGCCCCATGCCCTTGCCCGGCCCCACACGTGCCCCACGCCCCCGCCCGGCCCCACGCCCTTGCCCGGCCCCACACGTGCCCCACGCCCCCGCCCGGCCCCACGCCCCGCCCGGCCCCACGCCCCCGCCCGGCCCCACGCCCCTGCACGGCCCCACGCCCCCGCCCGGCCCCACGCCCTGCCCGGCCCCACGCCCCCGTGTGCCCCACGCCCCCGCCCGGCCCCACGCCCCTAGCCCGGCCCCCACGCCCCCGCCCGGCCCCACGCCCTTGCCCGGCCCCACGCCCCCGTGTGCCCCACGCCCCCGCCCGCCCCACGCCCCTGCCCGGCCCCACGCCCCCCGCCCGGCCCACGCCCCTGCCCGGCCCCACGCCCCCGTGTGCCCCACGCCCCCGCACGGCCCCACGCCCCCGCCCGGCCCCATGCCCTTGCCCCACACGTTCCCCACGCCCCCCGCCCGGCCCCACGCCCTTGCCCGGCCCCACACGTGCCCCACGCCCCCGCCCAGCCCCACGCCCCCCGCCCAGCCCCACGCCCCCGCCCGGCCCCACGCCCCTGCACGGCCCCACGCCCCCGCCCGGCCCCACGCCCTTGCCCGGCCCCACACGTGCCCCACGCCCCCGCCCGGCCCCACATGTGCCCCACGCCCTCCCGGCCCCCGCCCGGCCCCACGCCCCTGCACGGCCCCACGCCCTTGCCCGGCCCCACATGTGCCCCACACCCCTGCCCGGCCCCACACGTGCCCCACACCCCCGCCTGGCCCCACGCCCTTGCCCGGCCCCACATGTGCCCCACACCCCTGCCCAGCCCCACGCCCCTGCCCGGCCCCACGCCCCCGTGCGCCCCACGCCCTCCCGGCCCCACACCCTTGCCCGGCCCCACACGTGCCCCACGCCCCCGCCCGGTCCCACACCCCCGCCCGGCCCCCGCCCCCGTGCACCCACGCCCTCCCGGCCCCCGCCCAGCCCCACGCCCCTGCCCAGCCCCACGCGCGCCCCGCATCCTCCTGGCCCCTGCCCGGCCCCCCCACCACATCCTCCCGGCCCTCCCGGCCCCACACCCGCCCCCACACCTGCTCCATGCCCGCCCCCACGTCCTCCAGGCCCCTGTGCCCAGCATTCTCTTGGCCCCACCCGGCCCCACACCCACCCACCTCCCGCGCCCGCCCCCTGTCCTCCCCCACGTCCTCCCTGCTGCTGCCCGCAGGGGTCCTCCCCACCCCCACGTCCTCCCGGCGCCCCCGCTTGCCCGCCCGGCCCCTGCCTGGTCCCCAGCCCAGGCTCAGCCATGTTCTCTGCCCTGCCGGGCGCAGGCTCGAATCGCGGAGGTGCCGGATGCGGGGAGGCGGCGTGCGGACAGAAGAAGGAGGAGGAGGAGGAGGAGGAGGAAGGAGCGCTGGAGCCCGGCCAGCCCGGGTCGTGGTCAGAGGCCACCGCTGACCCTCCTGTGGACGTTTCTCAGACTCGGCGGCCCCCAGCGGCCCGGCCCCGGCCCCGGCCCCCTCCTGCCTCCGGGCTCCTGTCGGGTGCGGGCTCCCGCCTCCGGGCTCCTGTCGGGTGCGGGCTGAATCGCAGTAAATTATTTGAAGGTCCCGTCCCCCACGTCTGGCTTGGGCGCTGGGAGCCCTGGCCGCCCCCCGGCTGCGTCCCTGCTTCCCGTAGACAGCTGGACGGTGGGGGCCGCGTCTCACCGCGGGGCAGGGGCCCGAGGCTGGGGCGGCCTACCCTGCGGCCTCCTTGTTCTGAGCGGGAGCTTTTGGGGCCAGAGTGGCTGCCAAGGACAGCCGGGCAAGGGACCAACCTGGGCCAGCACTGCCCGCTGTCCAGCAGCCCTGCCCGCAGCAGGGTCCTAGTGCCCTGTGTGTGCCCTCCCTGCCTCCTTGGGTGGCCGGACGGCGTCCAGCCTGCCTGTGCTGTCTGCTCCGAAGAGTCGTGTGAGGTCAGCAAGCGTCCCTCGGGGTGCACCCAGCCCCCGGGAGCTGCCTACTGCACACAGAAGGCTTGGCACGCCCTGGGCTGCCTTCCAGGGCTGCGCGGGCCCTGGTGCCCAGCCTGCCCTAGGCCTCAGGTTGAAGCCCTATCCAGTCCCTGCAGGGCGTGCTCCGTCCCACACAAAGGCCGGGTGAGGACTCACAGGCAGTGACCTCAGGGTACCCAGCTTCCCTCCCGGTGGGCTGGACCCTGGGGTCTGTCGGGCCGTGACATCATGTCAGGGGCCGCCCTGGGCACTGGCCTTTTGAGGGGCTGGGTGCAGGGACCGCTGT